CAAAGGTGGAGTTTAATTTTTTGTGACATTCCGAAAATGTTGGAATAAACCCTATCCCCACCACCAATCCGAGTGGCTCCGGCGGCCACCCTTAGGACATCCTCGATAAGTCCCACATTTCCCATGATGTCCACGTGGGCCCCACTCTCCACCCCTCTCCCTTCCAACAAGTTGGCTGGTGGCTTGTGCTTGTATTCGCGCACGTAAGTCGATATTCCCGAAGGATTGAACCTCGTCCGGCCTCGCCACCCTTTGGCGCACATGAAGCCGGCGCTCAACACAGGAACACTCTGATCTCCGTCAGTCGAGTGGACCCCACCGTTGTCTATTTGGAAAGGGATGTTTTGTGAGGTCGTTTTGTACACGTACGATCTTTCCGTGGGGATCCCCACACCGTATAAGCAGTATATCTCCATCTTCGGGGCATCCGGTAACCTCACATCAATAACAACACAACAAATCTCAACAATTCGTAGTATTCTCGAAATTTTTAATTAGGCAAAAATACATTTTTAGTCCAATTGGTTTAATGTCATAGCAATTTTAGTCTCAAGGTTCTAACTTTTCGTGTGATTTAATATTTTGCTGCAATTTCTGTTTCTGAGGACTGAAATTGCAACAAGAATTGCAATAAAATTTTAAATTATGGGATTGAAATTGCTGATAGAAAATCTGGGAATTTGAAAATTTGTTGCGATTTAAAGAACTGAAATTGCAGCAAAATATTAAATCAGAGGACGAAAAGGTAAAATGTTGGAACTTTGGAATTAAAATTGTCATGGGGATTAAACCAGCAAGACTAAAAATGCAATTCTGCTATTTGATTAAATTAATTATTATGTTATGCTATGCTGCTTACTTGGTCTCAAGTGGATTTGACCAATACTTGTAGTGATTGTACTTGGGATCATCGAGGTCGTCTGCAATGCCGTGCGAAAAGTGAGCTTCCGACCTTTTCATCATTTTCGGAGCGATTGTTCGAATAAGCTGTAATAAAGTGTTTGCAGTGTACGCCTTCTTCTCCACGATTCTCAAAATGCTCTCATGGCTCAGTTCATTATATTCGGTCCACACTTTCCCACACGATGCAAGGGCCTTTGGAGAGCTCGCATTCTGCGAAAATACATGAGTAAATTAAATTCCAGATTCATTCTAAATTGCAAATATATAGGAAAAAAAAAAAAAAAAAANAGGAAAAAAAAAAAAAAAAAAAAAATTGTACCTGGGAGTGGGAGTTGACTACAGACAACTCTGAAGAATGCAATTCGGATGCTGCCTTCCCAAAAGACACGATCCTTCCATATTTAGCCGACTTTAATTGTATTTGAAATCCTCTTCTACCGTCCGTGTTATTGCTCTTCGCGTCAAACTGATTTTGCACATGATCTTCTTCGGGAGACCAATCCAAGTCACCCCAAATGGTGTCCCCGCCTTTAGGTAATAAAGAAATTATCGAGTCCCACGTTCGAGACACGCGCATTACATGTTCTAAGGCTTGAAGCCCAAAAATCTTGGAATCCAACAGTCCAGGTGCCATAGCCCTTCAAATTCAATGGCAGGTTGAGAACAAATGTTAAATGATTGTGTAGAATAAATATATCACCAGGAAATTACATATGCTAACATGAAGTTTGAAACAGAAACAAAAACATAGTATATGCCTTCCCCATTTAGAACTACTCTCCTAGAAACATGTTTCTGATCTTTTACACATTGTATGTGTCTATAAGTTCGATTTATAAGAGACAAAAAAGAAACAGAAGGATTTTAACAAATTACCAAAAAAACTGCTTGAAATTTGATATTAGGTCCACCCAAATATTCTCCATCCTTAAAGAACCAAGAAAACTTTAAAATTCCCATGGGAATTTGAGGAACAAGTTAATTTATCGCCTCAAATTTAAAACAAAAAATTAGGTGTGTGTGTGTGTGTGTGTGTACTTAGCTAAACCTTTCTTTTTTTTTTTTTTGNCTTAGTCGAAATGTAAGGGGAAGTAAACAGTACCTGATAAAAGCCACGTCTTTGCTCTCGGCAGACAAAATATTACTTACAGCTTTCGGAACACCTAAAAAAGCCGGGCCAATATTCATGATTGATTTTATGTGCTTTGCACACCAGCCCGGCCCGCCACCCCCACCCATCGGTGGTTGGGCCTCAACCCATTTCATAAAATGCAGAAAATAAATTACGCCCATCGAATGAGGCACCACAACCACTTTCTTGTACCCATTTGTCACGTACATGAGCTCGATTTTGCTCTTCAGTCTACTCAGTGTTTGGTCCCTTACCTGCTTCACCACTAACAAGTGTATATCAATTTACACTCAAGCCATAACATGTAACCAATCATTTATCCAACATTATAAAGTAATGAGTGATAAAAATACACAACATAATATTTACAGAAAAAAAAAAATGCAATTAGGTAAAAGCTCAAAAATAGTTTTTGTAAGTATTAGGGAAATGGGTATCAGACATGAGCAGAAAGGTTACAATATGTCAATGATTTGTTNGTTTAATGTTAAGAACCAAAAACTTCCATAATAACAGAGTTTCGTTTCACCTTCTCCATTAGAAATAAAGCCCATCAAGCACAGACCACTAAGTGGCTATATATACTACAAAAACCTATAAAAAGCAGTAAACTAGCCTTAAATATTATACAAGAACCAAAAATCATGTATCCAAAATAGACTGGTCAACCACATTTGTATAAGCTTAATTGCAGTTATGTTTATTATTACCTCTGTGTTTTGGAAGGACAGCCTCCAATCATAAGCAGCCATGTACATATTCTTGCTCTCATAACCAATTCGGGCCAAATTCTCAATCAGGATAGCCCAAACGAAATACCCAGGGGCAAAATAGTCAGCTGCAACAAGCCCGGGGACAGCCCGAACCCGAATTCCTGGTGGATCAAGCCCTGTTTCATTGTCCAAGGAAAGATGCTCCAACCAACACATGGGCCTAAAAATATTCACCAAAATGCTCGATTTTTACATGCTCAATCATTCATAAACGTAGCTAAATTGGAATTTTAGTAAGTATAATTA